TATATATATATTAATTTATTAAAATTATAATTTAGCATTAAAAAATAATACTATTGATTCTTTTATTATTTACGAGGTATTATTTTTCAAATTTAGTGCGCATTATGAACAGTTTTGATATAATTATAGTTTAATAAATAATTTGATATATATGATTACATCTATTTTATAGTTGCACTTTTTTATTATTAATTGCAACAATTTTTTTATTAACGTTTTTTTGAAATATTATATCCGATAAATTTGAATTTTTTACGACTCTTTATTTTATTTCTCAATATTTCCTTCATTGTTTTGCAATTATTTTTTCTTTGTTAAGAGAATTAATCTTAAGAAATACAATAGTTCCGATTTACTTTGAAGATGAAAAATTGGATACTTTGCTCCGAGTTGTTTCGTAAAGATGAAACAATTCTTTTTTCTAAAAATATAGTCGATTTAGTGATGCAAAAAAATTTTCTTGAAGAATTAAAGTATGCGTCGTCGAAAAATAGTTGAAACTGGCTTTTCTGTTGGGCCATATGTTGGTGTAATTTACTATGTTGAGTCTGTGATTATTCATTCTGTCATACATGTCACTCCTTGTTTGTTGGTTGAACGAACAATCAGTGGCTGAGTGGAAAGTTCATACTGCGTGCGTGCAATATGCAGACTAATAACGTTAAAGGATGTAAAATATTGTTTTATTTCTTTAATTATCAGCACATTTACATTATTATTTGCACGTTTAAGCAAATATTAGAATAATTGTAATAGGGAACGTATAGGTATAATTGTAATAGGGAAAGTGTAATATGGGACGTATGCAAAGTAACTTTCTGTGTGTGTACGAATACAAAATATTTTGTGTTATACGAATAATAAAATATTTTTATTAAGAAAATTAAATAAAATATTTTTAGTCAGAAAAAAACGGGGCTGTGAGAGAATAAATTTTATAAACAATCACGTATTATTTATTTGAACTCATTTGTAATGAGACATTCCGACCATTTTTTCGTTTTGCAAGACTTTCCATGAGTTGTAATTTCCGCGATTTTTTTTTTCTCCAACTTTTATCCATTGTGTATTTACTACCATTTTTCATACTTTTTTTCTCTACTTTTATCTGCCTTTTCTTGCTTCCTTTTCTGTCTCTTGTCTTTTTCCTTATCTCTTTCTCTGTTTTTATGCCTCCTCGATAACGATAAAAATATTTCTTATTCATGGTCTATCGCGATCTAACTCAACGCTTCTTATACCGAAGATTTTTACGTGCCAGTCTCACTAAGATTGATGAAACGACATACTGTCGATTCACGAAAATCGATTTTCGAGGAGGAACTCTTGTCTACGAAATTTACTCGTTTCTGCCTTCCTCCTTCCTTTTATCTTTTTCTCTTTCTACATCTCTTGCTTCAGCTTCTATCGTTTTTGAAAGAAACTACACGTCTGCCTTTTCTCGTGGGAAGAGTGCACAAAGGCAGACGAGCGATGTGAAAGCAAATTAATCAATCATCTTTCCCGAACAAGTTCCATCTTTGCACGGTCTAATGGAGAACAGTGTTGCGACTATTTCCAGAAATCGTAGTTATCGGAAAACAAAAATTTTTGGAAAAAGTCTTTGAAGCAGTAAAGGATTTTTCGTAAGATTTGCAAAAAATGAAGAAAGACAAGAAAGATAATATTTGTTTATACTGCTCATTATTTTTATTTATAGATATATTACATAAGATTACAACAAAATTTTTGGAGAGCAACTCAAACCAGAGTAGATGATTTGTATGGATTTTACTCACTGTATCCGAATTCGTAAATTGTTTTGCTCTATTACGCCTAGTTCTTTAAATAATCAAGAAAAATGAAGGAAAATCTATAGAAATTGAAACATTTAAGAAAATAGCCAAAGTAAATCTAACATTAAAATGTAATCCCAGAACTGATTTAAATATATTTTGGCAAGTTTAACAAAGTGTAATAAATAAAAATTGTACTTTACAATTTAAGTATTATTATAGTCTTATATGTATCGCATAAATTTATGCTGATAACATTTTGTGCCAAACTCTGTGCTTAACTTAATCTAACTTATCTTCCAAAAGTAACAATTAAAATAACTATTTTTAGAGTTTAAAAAATCTTCCATAGTTCATGCAGATCAACTGACTGTTTATTGCACAATGATATTTTATCGATTATCGATTTGTTTTATGAAGCGTTAGGCTATAATGGGTACCTAATATTAGTAAAGCAAAATTTTTTTATTTCTTATACTTTGTCAAACTTACCAAAATATAAATTAAATTAGTTCTACGACTGTTCATTTTGATGTTATATTTACTTTTGCTCTTTCTTCAAATGTTTTAATTTTGATAGACTTTTCCATCATTTTTCTTGATTATCTAAAAAAACTATACATGATGGAACAAAACGGCTTATAAATCAGGATTCAGTATCAGAAACACTTACTCTGATTTAAGTTGTTCTCCAAAAATTTTTTTGTGGTTCTGTGATTATTAATCAGATTGTTAGTCAAAGTTACGCATCCGCGTACAACGATATACGTTTACGTTAGATATTTTTATCGTATTTAAAAGCGATTGTTCGCAATCTACAACAATGCAGCAATATTATACAATTCCAACATTCTATAAATAAACATAAATCTTATAACACAGGATAGTAACTGATCGTTATTTTAAATACTCCGGGACAAACGTAAAAGCACGCGGGAAACTTTATTATAATCCATGATGAAATGAGATTTTGTGCGAAAAAAGATACTTAATGCGTGGATTTAATCGTAGTGATGCAATTCTCGAAATAGCAAAATGTACGATAAGGATATTACGTGTTATGCGAGTGTATTAATTTAAAATTTAATTCCCGTTGATGTATCTTCTTGTTGCAGGAGACGAGATCCTCTACCGTGACGAGATAGGCAATTTGTTGATCTACAATGTTAGCTCGGCCGCATCCAAGATCCTGTTGGACTCCAGCAATCCCGTAAGTTTTCTTAAACTTCTGCACATTGTATGAAAGTTCTCGTGGCGGACTTCGAAGTTAGTATGAAATTTAGAAGCGCTCGTCCGAGAATTTCTACTTGTAATGAATCTCAGAATTATCAGTTATTTTACTTGGGTTATCACATTCCGCTTATCTTCTTCTTTCTATCTGTGCTAATAACAGTAATATAGACATAAGTTACAAATGAAACAATAACGATATTAAATTAAAATTTATATTGAATTTACGCTGATGCGTAAACAAAACTTATATTAATTATAGGTATTAATTAAACAAAGAAAACAATATACAATGTTAATTATACACATCAATATATAATTAGCATAATAATGTGAAATATTATATAATGTGAAATATGAAATGTGTCAACTGCGTTATCAGAGGTAATCAATTATCGTAGAATGTGTACTCCAGTATGAGCCAGTTTAGAAGGTGTACGCAAACATTTTTGCGCATGCGTTAACGTATGCACAATTATTGTCGCATTAACGTGCGTGTGATTAAATAGAAATTGTTATATGAATAGTTGATACAAATTAATTGTTCGCCATCGCGCCTCACTTCCGAAATCACAGATTGAAATACACCATGAAACGAAAGCACTATATCCCACATACGTGATCCCTACTTTGTCCCTTTCTCCGCCATTCTCCTAATTTTCTTTCCCGCTCTAATTCATATCTGCGTAATCAATTAAATCACCCTGGCTACTGCGAACCCTAGTACGAGGGTGCGTGTACATATGTACGTATATGTAAAAGCGGAAGCCGCGTGTGCGGATCGAATATGAAAGCAGTGAAACGGGCGAAATCGGGAAAGAGGGGTTGAAACTATTTCACGATGCAGAGGGGAACGAAAGACGTAATGTAATGTGCAATATCGAGCTTGATGCCGAGTATGCATCGGGCAAACCACGCGTCTATCGTTACTCCCGCGACACTGCACCGCCGCGCCGCACCGCGCTGTCGAAGAGATCGCTGGAACGGTAATTGCTTGTTATCTTTCACATTCTGACGCATGCAATCTATCGTCGACCATTCTCATTCGTACGCATGTAGATATCCAGCTGGCTACTGTTGTAAAATGATTCATTACGACATCTGTAACACGATGTCTATCTCAGTAAAATTTAACATTGCGAAATGTCTCTTCGGAGGAAAATCTAAATGATGTATTTACGAAATATCGTTATACAAAACTATTTGTCATACACTTGTGATATATTGCAACAACGATATTGAAATCTACTTGAATTCAATATTGTACTGTTTGTTTATTGAAAATTTGGTACTGTAATAAATGTTATACGGTAATAAATGTTTCTTTAACAATTTTAAATTTAAAAAAAGGCAATTTTATGCGCAAAAAGAATGATTTTGCTAAAATATTCAAAAATTTAGCTAGATATAGATCTGTAATAAATAATATTGTCGGACATCAAAATAATTATATAGAACGCTTAAATGTTAATGACAATGCTGGGGAGACTATGATACTGTGACCTCTCAAAATAAAAGTTTTTTGGAAAGCGTTTTTAGTAAGGAACATGAGTAAAAAAATTCTATAATCAGTATTTGATTTGATAATCATATTTTAATTTTATGATTAATTTGATAATAACTTTTTAATAAACAATGATTGTCAACCAAAATGTTCTGGAGATTATTCAAGACATTGACCTTTACAAGATATATATTAAGACTCTTACCTCATCTCCCCTCTGCTACGGGGCGCGCAACTTTCCACGTGAAGCGACGATTCTTTTTTGGTTTGTAATTGTTAGTTATTTTAGTATCTGTTGATTAGAGAATTTTTCATTTTGAGGGGCCACAGTTATCGTAATCGTGTCACAATGCTACAAAAAACATTCTAGCAGTTAGTTTGAGTGTCCTGTAAAATTATTTTGATGGTTTATATAGGGTGTCCCGAATTAAAATGATTAAATTTTGGGAAATTGATAAATTATGAAAAAAAAAATTTTTAGAGATATACTCGTTTTCTCCTTGTTTTGGAGAAAGCAGCAAAAAAAGACAAAATGTAATTTTCGGAATATTATTATTATCAAAGCGGAATATTATTGTTTTTGTGTACGATTTTAACGATAATGCTTTAAAGACAGTACGAGAATACGCGCCCCCGAGAAAAGAGTGTCTGGATCGGCGAATCATTGCGTTGACCAAATCAGTATTTAGCTGCAACACGAGATATCCATATAAGATACAACGCATGCATTTCTGCAAGAAGCCAACATTTTGAACAATATCTGCATTAAGCAAGTGACAATGTAAATAAATAAGTGTGAATGAATAATAATAAACAATTTATTAAGACTGTATACGTGAATACACAATAAGTAAGAATTTAATGCCTATTATAGTCGAAGCTGGATCTTAGATGCTTTTAAATAATCTCTATGTGAATTTATATATAATATTAAATATGTAGCCATTTGAACTGCGCGCCGAAATGATTTTCAGACTTATAAACGCTTAAAATAAAATTAAACTACTACAGTAATATTGCAAATTAAATTGATAAGCAATTTAATAATTTGATGCTCTGGCATCCAATTTAGAAAGATGTTAATGTACTGAAAAACTGTAATATTTTTTGCAATAAATTTATTTACAGTTTTTTAGTACATTAACATTTTTATAATAGGATGTCAGATTGAGCATCAAATTATTAAATTGCTTATTAATTTAATTTGTGATATTACTATAGTAGTTTAATTGCGTTAATTTACAAGTCTGAAAATCATTTCGGCGCGCAGTTCAAATGACTACATATTTAGTATATAAGTTCACACAGAGATTATTTAAAAGCATCTAAGATTCAGCTTCGACTGTAATTCGCATTAAACTCTTAATGAATAAGAAATAAACATATGAATGAATAAATAATCTCTGAATGAATAAGTAATAAATATATAAGTACAAAAATGAAAACTACTATTTGTCTTTTTTTGTGATTTTTTTTCAAAATGAAGCAAAAACGACTATATCTTTAAAGACTTTTTTTTTAGTTTATCGATCCCCTACATGTTTCCGAAGTTTGGCCATTTAAATTTGGGACACTTTATATAAAATTATTTTTAGATCTATAGTTAAATTTTTTAATACTTTAATAAAACCATTCTTTCCTTTTATACCTATAAGACAAAAGAAATTGTTGGAGTTATATTATTTTTTATCACTTTTTTGCGTTGTAATAATAATAGTATCGTAGAGTGATTATATCTAATTATATTTTTATTTAAACAACAATTTATTTAAACAAATCTTTTTCTGATAAAGAAATAATTCATTTCATTCCGTCTATTCTTCTTTAACTTTCATAAGTAACGGATAAGCGGTTTCTTCATGTTTCCGAATAAAATCTTATCAGGTGCCGTCGCCGTAATCAGTAAGAAGAGGATAAGCTGATTCTTTCAATTAAGCAAGTGGCAGGGGAAAGCGCTAAAGAGAAATTGCAACAGTTAACCGGTGCGACATTTTTAAATTTTATTTTTATCGTTGAATTTATCATTCTTTCTTACTTTCTCGAATTAAATGAAGTTTTCCGCATTTCGTGCATTACTCGAAATCTTACGGGACTGTTTTCGCGCAAGTCCTTCTCGCAATGCCGAGAACAGTCTTATCAAAACTGTATTCCTTGTTAGCCTGAAAGCTATTAGAGAGTTTATGACCCGTGTATTTTCACTTCAATATATATGTACACATCCATACATATATACATACACATATACATAAACATATATATATATATATATATGTGCACACACACGCGCGCGCGCGCGCACACACTTTTTTTTACTCTCAAAAATTTATTGAAGAAAGCATAAATGTATGCATAAAATTATAGTTACAGTTAAAATAACCGAACTTTACAATTATATTTATTTTACTGTTGCATCACAGTTTACTATACGAGTTTTATTGAGATTTTAATGAAAGTTTGGTTCCGAATCTTTATTCGCAATTGATCTGAAATTTTACACATTACAGTTTAACGACACAATTTATTAAATAACTTTTTATAATAATTACATAAATATTTTTATTTTTTCTCGAAATGAGAAAAATAATATTCTGAAATCATAATACAATTATTGAATGTTAATTATTATTGTAAAATCTTCATTAAGGATGTTTAGTCTCTGCGAAAAATAACTAGGAATTAGCAATTTAAATTTTCTACTTATATTAAAAAGGATATATATACATATAAAACGGTTTAATAAGATCAATGTTTATATTTTAACAATATATTGTAGTTTAATAGTTTAAACAAAAATTTTTTTATTTTATCTTAATTATTTTTTTTAAATATGTCTACTTTTTATTGCACTAATTTTTTAATCAGGTTCTAAATTCCTGCCAAACTTTTTTTTATTATTCGGCGCGCAGTTCGAATAACTACAAATATGGTATATATGCAAGTATACATATAGTATACATAGGTATATAATAATTTAGATTGAATTATTTAAGTATTAAAGATCTAGCTTTATGGCCATTACTTCTTACAGTTGAACATTTACTATTACTTTCAAATACAATAAAGAAAAATCTATAAGTTTTTTATCTTGTTAAAGAACATGTATATTTTAAGAATATAGTATATTTCGAAGCTGAGAAGAATGTATTAAGAGTATAAATAAGTTTCCGCCGTTTTTTATCAAAAATTGGGCATTTATTGTGAAAGAACGGTACCTAATGTTTTATTCGAAGTATTGTCCATCGCTAGCCACTACTTTTTCCCATCTTTCTGGCAGCATACGGATACCGCGTCGGAAAAACGTTTCATCTTTTGAAGCTATCCACGAATCGACCCAATTTTTAGTATCTTCATATGATGTGAAGTGTTGCTCAGACAGGCCATGCGCCATCGATCGAAACAGGTAGTAATCAGAAGGAGCAATGTCTGGTGAATACGGCGGGTGGGGTAAAACTTCCCAATTGAGTTTCCAAGTAGGTTTTGACTGGCGCCGCAACATGTGGATGAGCATTATCATGCAGAAGAATAACTTTGTCGTGTCTGGAGTAGTAGTGGGCGCGTTTTTCCTTGAGTGCTCGGCTCAATCTCATCAATTGTGTTCGGTAGAGAGCCCCAGTAATGGTTTCGTTCGGTTTGAGCAACTCATAATAAACGACACCTAGCTGATCCCACCAAATACACAACATGAGCTTTTTCCCATGAATGTTCGGCTTGGCTGTCGATGTTGAAGCATGGCCAGGTGGTCCCCATGATTTCTTCTTCTTTGGGTTATCCTTTGGGTAGTGGATCCATTTTTCATCACCAGTGACTACATGGTGCAAAAAATCCTTTCGTTTATGCCTGGCAAGCAGCATTTCACATGTGAAAAATCGGCGTTAACGTTTCTCGGCTTCAGTTCATATGGAATCCAATTTCCTTGCTTTTGAATCATTCCCAACGATTTTAAGCGATGTGAAATTGCTGGTTGAGTCACTCCTAATGTAAGTGCAAGTGCTTCTTGCGTTTGGCACGAATCTTCATCCAATAATGCTTCCAATTCCGCGTCTTCGTACATTTTCGGCCTTCCGCTACGTTCTTTGTCTTCGACGTCAAATTCACCGTTCTTAAACTTTTGAAATCACTCACGGCAACTTCTCTCACTTAAGGCAGCCTCACCATATACTTCTACAAGCAATCGATGCTCCTTAGCTGCAGATTTCTTCAAATTAAAGAAGTAAATCAAAAGCTCCCGCAAATGATGCTTATTCGGCTCAAAACTCGACATTTTCGCACGAAAAAAGATATAAGATGCTGATGCAAAATCGCTAACATTTCAAGGTTATGTTCTTGCCAGATGTCCAACCTTACGATATGACGTTTTACAGCTGACAATTTTAACTATAACATACTGGTAGCGCCATTGTTTGTCAAACGGCGGAAACTTATTTATACTCCCAATATTTCTTATTCTATATTTAGCTTAAGGTGAATGCTGGAGTGGCCAAATTGTCGGGATTTTGCAGATCGGTCAAATCTTCGAATTTACTAAATGAAATAAAAAATCCTTTTACAGGATTAAAGTAGATGCAAAATTTGATGGTGCTGCAATAGATTTTATACTAATTGTAAAATTAAAAAGAAGTTAAACACTTACATTTTTTCAACTCGTAGAACTGTCATCTAATGAAGCCGTGATTAGACTTGGAAATTGAGATTATGCCCTATATTGTCTCGTTCGGATGAACACAACTGTGTAGTCGTGCTCCTGCACGTACCTTCGCAACAGAATTAAAAAAAATCGCCAAAATAAAAGATTGATCCGCGTGCCGCGTGCGCCATTATTCGCGCATCGTCCTGCTTCGCGCGCTTATCAGCGCTCTCGGACGCCGCCAGCGCGTCACCATATTAATGATTTTGGCGGTTTTTTCAAATTTTGTTGCGAAGGTACGTGCAGGAGTACAACTACACAGTTGTGTCCATCCGGATGAGACCAAGGGCATAATCAGGATTGAACTTCCCAGGTAAGTTCGTTCAATCCCACAATTGAGATTGAGATTGAGATTAAGATTGAAATTAAGATTGAAAATTGCTCAATTACACTATGAATTATATTCAACAGCAGATAAGATTGAGATTAGTAAGAATATCGGGAGATATAGCTAGAACCACACATAACAATTATTAAATACGCATTTAATTGCACTTACACGTTTTAATTGTGCTGTGTTTGTACTTTTTATAACCTTTCATAACTTATTATTTGTACATATACAATACATTTGGTGAGATTAATCACCAAATGACTGAAATACTGGCAACTTATTCAATCTTCAGGTTGAGATTGAGATTAAAGATTGGAAAAATAGACGGAGCCCTATATTTCAATCTGCAATCTCAATCTCAGCTTGTTCTATTCTTATTGGTCGAGCTTCAATCTTAATCTCAATCTTAATCTCAATCTCAATCTTCATATGCATAGTCTGATCACAGCTTATCGTAGATATTTCCTTAATACGAAAGTTTTATAATTCGTATGGACCAAACGACAATGCAGCACAAAATGTATTGCGCGCACAAACAATACTAAGTTTATGAAACTAAGACTTATAAGATTAAAAGCTTAAAAAGAAAGATTTATATTGATATTTATATTTGCTAATAGGGAGGGCTTTGTTTGCCTACAAAAATGATTGCCTATAGCTTCGTTTGCATACAGCAATATTGCACACAGCGTATAGTACAAACGACAATATTGCACGTTGCACGTTGCACACACGACAATATTGCACACAGTACATTGCACTGATTGCACACACACGCTATTAATTGTTTACATCGTGTTTACCCAGTTTACATCATGCATTTGATATGCGTATTAACTAGTAACTTTCTATTAAATTATTTTAATTTTAGCGATGCATTTAAAAAATGATGTACTAAATTGATATAATATGCATTAAAATGATTATTTAAATACACATATCATGTATATGTTTACGCGTATCGCTAAAATTAAGATAATTTAATAAAAAATTATTAGTAGTAATTTTTTATTAAATTATCAAGTGTACGATGTAAACTAGGCCAATAGTGTCGTGTGTGCAATATTGCTGTATGCAAACGAAGCTGTAGGCAATCGTTTTGTAAGCAAACGTGATCTTTTCTACAAATGATAGTAGCAGCCATTATAGGATTAGTAGTTTAATAAAGGTTAAAATCTTCCGCTCTATTTTCGTCTAAATTGACTGTACTATGATGTGTATACGAACCCTGAGCGAAGTCTTCGAAACGGTAAACAAAGCAATAATTGTATCTAGCAGTAGATGTTCGATCTTCCAAGAGATGGCGTTGCAATATGTTAGATAAAGACAGATAAATACGTTTGAGTGAGACACAACGATATGTAAGAAATGAATGAAAGATGTCACTTATTGAATTTCGAATTTAAAAAAGTCTACTATCTACTTCGATTAAGTTCGGCCGTCGCTCTAGCATTCCTTTAATCATTACATGAACAAACTTTTTGAATAGAAAAACTGTAGAGGACGCTTAAAGCTTAAATTTCAATGTATATACATATATGTTAATGTATCCGAGCAACAATGCATAAAGACGCGATCCACTAGTCTCGTTTATCACGCGAATAAACTTGCCATATTAAAATAATAATGGCAGTTGTCGGTCGCCAGTTACCGTATTATGATTGCGACGGCTAAGTGGAATGATCGCCAGTCCGATCGTCCGCTGAGCAACTCGGAACGATTGTCTCGTTCGAACGCGCGACTTCGCTTAACGATGGTCATTCCATTAGTCGGGTCGTCGTAGCTCATTCAACAACCTCGGTGATCCGTATCACGCACGTGATCGTAATTTACTCGCCGTGATTTCGACAAACCGTTCCAGGTCGTCGCGGCAGCACAAAGCCACTTTTGACGCGGCTGTCGTCTCGCATTTGCAGTCTATTCCGTGTTCATCTCGCTAACGACTCGTTTTATAAGCGTAATAAGCGATAAGCTCTGTCTGCGATTTGCACCGCGTCGGGCAAGCGCAATCTCGCGTTTTTCGACGCTGATTATTGCAGCCTGACACGCAAGAACAAGAAATTTTCGTACTTTTACGTTGTTTTCCTTATTACTGGAACTAATAATTACTTGTTTTTTTATCGCGCAACGTTAGCTTGTAAAGATAGCGGTTATACTCCTGTATCGTATTTTTATATATAATAAGCAACAATCGTGTTTATTTTAATTCTTAATTGCTTCGACGAGGCTGCATCAATTTACACGATATGAATTTAACGTTAACTCTCTCAGAGGCGAGTACTACATATTTTAACGTTTTTTTTAAATTAAATGAAATATAAGTAAGTAATTAAATCGAATATAAGTTGCCTATAAACGTTTCTGCGAGACAGAAGTTTCAAACAGATTGCATAATTTGCAGATTAGCGAAGTAAATGTATTGAATTCATTAATTCTGTTAAATTGTGAGTTAATATTATTCCAGTGAATCCCATTTCTCTGTATATTGTGTTTTTGATATTTTCATTCGTTGCACATTTTACACTTTATTGAATCGAACTATGTGTGTGCGCGCGTGCGCGCGCGTGTGTGTGTGTACGAGTATGTATGTGTGTGAAATTGTATTCCAACCTAATAACTTTTATTTTATAAATGATTTGGTATTTTGTTCTTTCAGGATTTACTGTCGAGTTTTGATCACCATTTATCTGCCGATAGGAAGTACCTATTGCTCGCTCTCAACTACCAGAAGGTAAGTTTTGCTTTTATTATAAATTTTTGATAAAACGAAATAATGGAAAGTGCGCGGGTGTATCGTCACGTTAATGCTAAGTAGAAAAATATAGTTGCATGACAAAACGCGGACATCATGTTATATTACTTAATTAAAATTGCGAATCTGCGAATCTTTGATGACGTGATGATAACTATTATGCTGACGACGCAGCTTTTCTCCAAAACATATGCATGCAAATGAGGATTACAGCAGCGCAATGTAATTGTTCCCGACTCAACCTTACGAATAGGCAATTTCTGACTTTGCATGTCTAATGCCCAGGTAATAAACTCATAGACTATGAGTTTCAATTCTTAGTACACACTTTAGTTTTGGGCACCTTTACTACACACATTCGGTCATTCGTATTCTGGATTAATTTTCATAATTTTTACAAGTATATAAAAATTATTAAACGATTTTTTTATATCTTTAGAAAATATTAGTACAGTTATGTATTTATAACAAATTGCCGATAAATTGTTATAACTAAATATAGTTAACAAAATGAAAAAATGCACTGTTTTATACAAAAATGTAAAACTCTAAAATAAAAATGTTTAAAAAAAATATGGTTCAATATCTTAAAATTGACATTCCAAACTACAAAAAAAAAAAAGATAATTTAGACTGTCCAAAAATTTAGTTATTAAGTAACCTAAAAATAATATTTTTTTAATATGTTTGAATATATGGTTGTAAATTAAAGATATATTGCATTTCAAACAATGCCAAAATGCAAATTTTATTATTACCATTGTGTTAAAAAAACTTATAATTTATTAGGAAAATGTTTTTTATAACATTTAAGACAACATAATATATAATATTATTGACAACATTTAGTACAAGGCTTCCAAAAATCATGTTTATTAAGGGCTGATATGTTATTCTAGGGTTAAATTCTTTTTTAATGATTCGCGAAATATTACTGCAATACAACCGAGAATTAGTTGAAAATAAAGAAAAAAATTGTTTAGTTATTGTACAAAAAATGTATACTTTGTATACATACGTTGGGTCATTTGCAAACCAGAGGTGAACTTTGAAATTGTGCCAGTTAAAGGATACACACGAACTGAGAACGGCAACGCACAAAATTTGTTCTCTAAATGCCAAGCTTTTTTATGAATAGAAAAGAGATCGATATTTGACCAGGTGCTCTTAGTATTTCACAAAAAAGAAATGCACAGGACACGAATGACCCAAAGATGTGTTAAGAATTAATATTAATGTTAATGAAGGGATATTTTTTTGCGTAATAACGTGATTCGTTCTTTTCAAGTAAATGGCAAGTTAATTTATGTCTCGGTTTAACAAGTGTCTTGAAGAAAGAAAATAAGACAAATTCATTGTCTTATTATTTTCTATCTTTGACATTTTAAAACGTATTCTGAAAATTTTTTATACTACCTTTTTTTACGAAGCCATTTAATTTTAATGTTGACAATTTTATGCGTTTAATGAGAAATATTAAAGAGTTGATACTTGTTAAAATAATAATGCTCTAATATTCTAATTGAAAATATACAGAGAGAACGATTTTGTATATAAGTGTGCTGGAATATTTAAAAATTTAAATACAGATTTAAAAATAATTTTGTTAAATCATTAAAATAATTATATAGGAAACTCAAACATAATGAGTAGTTCTACAAAAAAATTTTAATATTTTAACAATCAACTTGAGCGTCCTACATAATTATTTTGATAATTTAACAAAACTATTTTAGCTAAATTTTTTGATGCTTCAGCAATACTATTTTTTCGGTAGATTATTGTTATTAGATATATTTGACTTAAATATCAAATCGCGTTAATTCTATGAATTCAAAATTTTAATCAAGCGCGCGTATTTTGTAAATTATAAAATTTAAAAATATAAGATATCCTAAGGCTATATGAGAATAAGTTTTGTTTTATGTTATAAATGTGAATGAAGTTTTCGAGAGAGTAAATATAGAACTGCATAGTGAGATAATCATGGAAACAAGGTATGTAGGACTATCCGGAAGTTAATCGTATTGCCGAACGGAATGACTGCGATAAACATTTCATTCTCCTAGCTCGTACCTTCACTTCCGTTCTTCGCCATTCGGTGAACCCGTTCGTCAAGTGGTTTGACTGTACGTCGGTAGGAAACTGCTTAAACTTTCAAAGACTAGTAATTATAAGAAGCTTGAGTTGAGATCTCTGAAACCGTGCACCCACATCCGAGCGAATGCATTCGGATAAGCTTAAATGAATTAAGGTCAGATCGCGTAGTAGTCAAAGTGATGCAAAGTTTGTTTAATCCGACAACACGCAGGATTTGTTTAAAATAATATTTCGAGCATTATCGGAATGAACATACGTATATTCCACACTGAGAAAAATAGTTTGATTGTATCAACAAGATGTATATGGTTAAATGCATTTTAGTTAAATCTAGCAGAATTTCTGGTTATTATAACAGGATGTGAGATTTTATAACTAGAACATTCGATAGCTTATACTACAAGGATTTGTTTAATATTTTTTAGTTGGATTTATAAAATTTCTGGTTATATTTACTAAACATACGCAACATTATCAGAATTCTGATTAAGAGTATCCTAGCAGTTTTATTATTGTGCAAATTGGCGCAAATCGAGTCGAGCGAATACTGTATTGTTTTGTATCGTACATCCCATAATCATATTATTGTGCGTGTTGTACTCGTATCTTGTACTGAAGTGAAATCCACTGTAGTGAAATAATTAAGGCAAGTTCAAATGGATGTACTAATTGTAAGTCGTCGTACTGTGATCTGTCTGAACAGATTAGAAATTTAAAAGAGGCAGATGTGGATCCAAAAGTCAAATCAAATTGACGCGCTGCAAACAAAACTTTTTCAAGGTTAAATATGAAATATAAAATATTTAAATTACTATTGGCATATTACATTAAAAAAGTATATAATTATATAATCTAGGAAACATTTTATTTAAAATTATATAGGCAAAAAGTATTGGCGGATCCAGACATTTGTCAAAGGGAGGGAGGTGCCACTGATGGATTTATTTTAGGGTTGATTTTTGAATTAGCGGGTTTCTGAAATATTATGTGCCAATTGTAACGAACGAGTAATAAAGAAAAAGGGAAAATTTAATTACTTTATATCATTCTCGTATCTTTTCGTCCTTATTATTAAATTTGCGCGTTGCGCAAAAAATTGCAAGCGAAATTTTTTTTAAGGTCAAATACGGAAAGATAGATTGTTTGAATTATTATTAGCATTACATTGAAAAAGTATTATGTAAATATTTAATTAATAAAACATTTTATTTAAAATTATAATATCAGCAAAAAAATATATTATATATAGGCATAACATTTTAGGTCGGAATCAGACTACGCATTGAAGATTGAGATTGAAGATTGAAAGATTGAAATTTAACTAATCCAAACAATAGGAGCTAAAATTCCTTTGTCTTCATCGGTCAAATTTCAATTTTCAATCTTCAATCTCAATCTTCAATGTGTAATCTGATTCCGGCCTTACAATGATATATCTAATTTATATCTTATATTTCTGGGAAACCTGTTCAATACTGTTTCTTTAACAATTTCTGTTTTGTACGTAACAACGCAAGCTTTAAAAGTTTCTTTTCATTTATACAATTTCTTAATCAAACTTTCGAATGCCAAAGAGCTGAAAAACTTTGTTTAGCAGGAGCGACACTTATCGGCAGACAGTAATATTTTAAGTAATCTAGCAATTAGTGATTTTCGCATAACATTGCATAACACGGTATCTACAATAGAACAGTAAGCTTTAAGCTGCAAAAATCTAAGAGTTTCTTAAATTAAAAAATATTTTTGGAATATCAAAATTGCGATTAAGTATTTTAGAAATATTAAAAATATATGTAACATTTTAATTTAAAAAAAAAACTCCAAGAGAGGAGTCATGATTCCATGCCTTTCCCCCCCGCCCCCCCCTCCTCATAAATCTGCCACTGAAAAGGGATTAAGAAGAAAAGGAAGTGGAACGAAATTATATTGGATTGGAGGAACAGTTTTGGTTTTTAGTATAAATTTAAACAAAAAATCGACATTTATAACAATTTATTCAATTAATAATCTATTGACCGTCTTGATCTACAACATGTTACTAACGTTTCAATAGAGCCTTGATGTCACTCTCGTAAAATCCTTGGGACTTGTGAACGAAAAAATCAGCGAGGTGAAAATCAGGAGGACGGCCTCCATTAAATTGAATCGTTGACCAAGATTGTTTTGCAGCGAGTGAAACAAGGTAATCAGACGGTGCAAGGTCCGGCGAATATGGTGGGTGCTGGATCATTTCTTAGCAACCAAATCTCTGCAATTTTGTTTTCATGATGAAAGAAGTGTGTGATTGGGCATGATGAAAGACCATATCCTTCCTACCTGTTGCCTTGTGCAATTTGTCGAGCTAGGCGCAGTACTTTTGAATCTATTATTTGATCCTGCGGGAGCAGCTCTCCTTTGTAATCCCACCAAATGCTGAACATAATCTTTTGTGGATGCAAATCAGGTTTCGCTATCGTTTTTGAAGACTTGCTGCGGACCACACCACGACTTCTGCCGTTTGTTATAGACAACTCATTTCTCGTCTCCAGATCCGTTTTAGAAATGAGTCTAAAGAGTTTTGTTTCAGGAGAGACTCACACACCAAAGTCCATGATGCTGTTTTCGGTTAGTTCGTGCGACACCCGTACATCGATCTTTTTCATTATGCCAAGCTTTTTCAATCGGTCCGCACGATTGTATGATAAATGGCGAAGCGCTCCGCAATCTCTCGAGTCGTTAAGTGTCGATCATTCTTCACTGCAGTCAGAAGTTGGTTGTCGTTAGCAGCAATTAGCCGTCCAGAGCGTAATGCATTTTGGAGATTAAATTTTTGGAAAAGGAAGTGGGCAAACCATCTTTCGCGTGTGTCCGCGCTTAAGGCCGAGGCACCATACACGTCG